CCAACAGAGCAATGTCCCCTGCCCCATCTCTCTCTTGTCATGTATTTACTTACTCATATATTTATAAGCAGAGTCACTGTCAATGTGTAGCTGAGACTGGGTTGGAATCTACTATAGAGTCCGGAGTTGCTCCAAACTCCCAGACTCCTGCCTCAGCTTCCTGAATGTGAGAGTTGTAGGTATGCACCACTGTACCAGGCTATAAGTTCACAAAAACCTCAAGGAGCAAGATATCCCATTTTGTTTTCTTCATTCCAGACAAAACGCTATCTCAGTCACCATTGGATGGACAGATAGTGTCCACTCATCCTTCACCCCTTTGTCCATTAATTCCTCAAGTTTTCCCACTGGGTCTCTTCTTACCATCTGCTGCTGTCTTGGCTGTCACTTCCCACCAGAGCAGCCTCAAGTTGACTGCATCATGCAGACAGTTGCCCACTCTGCAAGCCCCATTCTGATGGGATAGACACAGATATTCAGAAGAAGACTGAAATCCAGATGGATCTAATAATGTCAAAGAAGTTCCATTAAATGGTTAAGGAAACAGACCTATGAAAGGTCGCTGTTATCAAGAGCACTAACCGTTCTTTCCCAAGCCATCCTGCAGATGCAATGAGTCACCAACATGGTCTCAGCTCTTGGCATCCCCCATCATTCTTCTCCCTCTTCCCACGGCACATCCCAGTGGTGACTTCACAGGGTTCACACCACTGATCTCAGACGGAAGGAAGGATCGTCGATGCAGAGGCTGACTCACTTCTCTCCATGCTAGTCTAATGCTGAGGAAACGACTAGGCTCAAAATAGGCAGTGAGGTTATTTTAAGTTCTGATTTAATAGTTGAGAAGAACTTCCAGAGATAGCTATGCATTGAAAATGCACATATCTCGTGCTCCTTGTGACCATCTCCAACATCTGAGCTCACTTCAGAGTGTGTGCTTGCAAAGCACCACAAACCGCAATGCTCACAACCCTGAATGACTACAGAGATGTGACTATTTCAGCCATAGACAAGGTCCTAAACTCCTATAGCTCTCACTTTTGTGCCTGCTGCCCTCATAAGGAGAATGGGCACAAAAAACACTAGCTCAGATGGGCACTGGAGGTCCATTATAAGAACACAATGTTATTGTCAGCTGTTAACATGGCTAAATAAGGTTTTGGTTATAATCCTCCTGAGACCAAAATTATAGGTCCAGTTGTTGATCTATGCAGAATGAACTCGCTCATGGCCTATGTTTTCTATTACATCTTCTTCCTGGAAGCCCGCCATTGGGATCTACAAAATACTAAACCTTAGCCATAGTCCTTCATCGCATGAAGTGGGAAAAGTTCCAAGCATGGAGGAAGAAAGAGTAAAAAGAAAGATAAATGAGGAAATAAGGAGAGAGAAAGAAAAACAGACTAAGACAGAGAACAGCAAGAAAGCATCTAGGTGAAGCCTTTCATTGGTTGCCTGCTCCACCACTGAAATTACCCATCATCCCCTGCCTGACTCTGGAGTTGGATGATATTCCGTGTTGGAAAGAAGGCTAATACAAATGTTTATTTTAGCACAAGAACTCAGCTTCTCTTGTGTAGATGGAACCCCTGAATGGACTTGTCTACTGTGCTGCACTGAACACAGTATCTGAACGCTCTGACCAGATGGAGACATTGTCTTCAGAGAGTTTGACTTTCAGAGATAATTTTAATTTAGCTAATGCACTGAGGCCAAGATTCTATAAGGATCCCCCAATAAATGGAAATTTCCCCAGGAATCTTGTGCTGGGAGAAGGAAAGGGCACAGCTATAGGGGGCTCTTGTCTCCTGGAAAGATATTTCCAAGAGTTGTAGCAATGTGTCTGACAAGATGAAACTGAAATCCAGTCAGCCATGGGTCCATGGTATTTGAGACCACACTTTGTCCCGGACTGTTCATATCCTCCACCCTATAGTTAAACTTTGATCGCACTTCAAGAACCCAGAAGATAGACTTGAAGGGTTTGCTGGATGCATATGTCCCTCTTCCCAAGTTGCTCACATTGACTAAATCTCATTTTAACCCTTTCCATTAAAAAAGAGTTTGCTATTTTTTCCAGCGATTTTCAAATTTTCATGAAACAGTGAGTCACTTACATAAAGTTTTAATATTAGCTATCTATTGAGTGACTAAGTAAAAGGAATTCTATCATGTTGAAAGTTAAGAAGCCATGGCACTCTTCTCAATTAGGGAACATACAAACCTGGGGCAAAATGCTGTTTGCTTCCTCGTTATCGATGTCTTAGAACAGGCCCAGCATCACTTACCAGTCAACCAAGACACATTGTGTTAGGTCTGACATTCCAGATCATTGCTACCAATGTATCTATTGAAATAAATAACACAGGTCTCAGTTACATCTCATGTGAAAGCGAGAGTGAACACTGGTCATTTGAATAATGACAAATGATATTAGTGGGTGAGATAGACTTATCCTTCCATCTCTCCTTCTTTCCACATTCTCTCATCAAGAATCTCTCTCTAGCTGGGCAATGAGGCATCTGTGCAAGTCTGCATTCTTCTCTGGATCTGTAGCTGGGTGACTTAACAATGAAGGTTTCTGTACATTTGCTCTTAGTGATTGGTACATAGCAAAGCTTCACAAACATCACTTAGCATCAGTCAGTAGGAATAAATGATAGTTTGAAAACTCATTGAGATCTACTCCATTTTCTCTCCTCATAGTGTGAGAAGGGAAAGTTTGAAAACAAATCTAACAGTCATTAAAATCATAGGTAATAACATGGATTGACAAAACATTTTAAGATCTAAAAGGATGAAAACATGGAGAAAATTTAAAAAGATGAAAATTATTATTTCAATTCAAGTTTCTTGAATAGGACCCTCAAGATAGGAAGGAGATAGGTGAGCAGCTTCATCTATAAGGACAACCTGTATACACTGATGCCAGAACTTAGAATATGACCCTTGATAACCCCCACAGAACAATGACAAATGAAGTAATCATTTCCACTGTATTCTATAGTCACACCATGATGAAGACAGCCAGGGGTAGAAAATACTAGAAGTATTTTGGCACAGGTAGAATCCAGCTAACCTCATTGAGGAGTGCAGTTAGGGAGAAAGAGCTTGAACTAAAAGAAGGCATTGAAGCATGCTCCTGGTAGAATTGCACATGCCAAGTTATTCACAGCCAAAGGTTGTACACAGTGGACTCAAGCACTGAGTGGGTACAGATTTTGCTTCTTGTCTCAATTCCCAAAATAATGTGGTCTATACTTTGTGTTGGGCATTATAATGCACAGGAGAATGAGCAGAGGTTTATGCAGACACTGCACCCTAATATGAGGGGCTTGAGCATCTGCTGATTCTGCTGATCAGGAGGACCCTTGAACCAACCCCCATATGCAGAGAGGAACAGATGGCAGGAACTCTGCCTCTGGGAGAAGGAACAAAAGATAGGATGTAGATGTTTTGAAAACCAGGTTTGAGTTCAATGTCAAGGAGAATCAAGGGTTGACTTTTGGAGGTTTGAAGGAGTGAGCTTCCTGATATGGATCTTCAATAACCATGTGTGAGCAGCACCTATGGGCTGCTGGACCTCACTCTGGCTCCGGAACTGTGGTTCAGGTGCGTCTTTGTGTAATGAAGCACCTGGCAGAAGAGAAGTATCCTTTAAAGTTTCAATGGTGGATTGCCATCAGACCCCCATGGCTTTTGCAAAATCCTTAGTGCAAAGCAATTAGGCAGTGGGTTAAAGTGCTGGAGGAAGGTGATGTGTGTGCGTAACTACACTGCTGTGATCCTCTGGGTCTCATTCATGTCGATCTATCTATCGATCTATCTATCTATCTATCTATCAGATAAGATCTCAAGATATAGCTCAGACTGTCCTTGAGCCCACAGACTTCTAGCCGCAGCCTCCCAAATTCTGGTTGTGCCAGTTTGAACCCCCGGGCCTGTTTGTCTTGATGTCTTCTAGATTTTCTGATTCTTTTTTTGTACTGATGTAAATCAGTATTCCTTCCTCTCACCCTAACATCCACTCTGGGCTCTTAAGTAAAACAGGTAGAGAAATGCATAGGAACTGCACCAAAAAATCCAAAGTTCTCCTACTGTCCACAGCTCATCTGGCCACCCCAGCAGCAGACGGATCCATTTCATCTCTGAATGCTGCACACCGCTCCTAGCTATGGCATTTGAGTTGAGTGGTGTTTATAGTAAAAACTAGCTGTTTATGTATTCCATGGCAATTATGGTGACTTTTTAAAATACTTTTATTTTGAAATAGGATCTCATTATGCAATTTAGGTTGATCTGGACCTGACTATACTGCCCCAGATACCCATGAAATTATGATTCTCCTGCCTCTATCTCCCCAAAGCTGGTATTACATGAATACATGCTACATACATATTACGAAAGGGGCTAAGAACCTCTGGCAGCAAGTTATTTTCCTAGTAGAAGGAAGGGCCATTAGATTTTCTGAAAGACAGTTCTGCTGCCCACAGTGCTTGTAGCAAGTGAACCCTGCTCTCCACTTGGCCGTATTGCTTTGCCTAAGTTACTTGTCAATTAGTTTCTTCATTTGTTTTCTGCACTTGAAAGTGGAGACAGTAACCCCATTTCTCAGGGCTGTGAAAGTGGTAACCTCATACATACTAAGAAGCCTTAGACACTCACCAAGCTCCACCAAAATACTTATTAGTGTTTTTGTGTCTCTGGGATCACCTTTATTTGTATTTGATAGATACAAGCACAAATGTTACATTCATAGTTATGGCATATTACAGCGAAAAGATACAGATAAAATTCAGCAGAAGAAAAAGGCTTATGGTTAGAATCTCAGAATGGTCAGGTTCCATCTTCAGAAAAAAAAATAAGGTGGTATGTGGAAAACAGATAGTAAAAAGGAAATATTAAGTAGCTATTTTCTGCATCTTGATTCTCAAGGAGAATTAACAACTGTTACCAGCATGAACTCTCTGTGATTGTGTGTTTCCTTTATCTCTTGTTAGATCTCAATCTGTGGTCGAAGCTGGGACCCTGAAACATGAAGAGAAAGGAGAAAATGAGAACACTCAGCCACTACTGGCTCTGGACTGAGCCACACCATGTGATGCTCCCATGCACAAGTCTCCCTCTAGTGGAGCAGCACCCAGGAAGCACCTGTGCAACTGACCTCCAGAAACCCGCTCAGCTTGACCGGAGGTCCTCCACTCCATTCCAGCCATGGCTGTCAGCAGCCATTGGTCTGAGCAGCCCACATTGGATAAAGATCTGATAGATGCTTTCAAACCTTAATTTAATAATGAATTCATGTTTTAGGGAGGGGTTGGGAGATGAAGCACGGCATTTATGTAAAAATGATCCCCCCCATATATTTATGGTAGCAAATGTACTTTTAAAAAAAAGGAAAGACTGAATTTGCTACATATACTTTAGGACAAGGACTGCTCTAAGGGTTCACACAGGAACCCTCTCCAGGTTTTGCAAATTAAGATAATGTGCATTTCCAAATAAATACAACAGAGTTAAACCGTGCAGACACAGCATCAAGTTTAATGGCGTGCAGAACCCCAAGACAATAGTAGCTCTAATAATTTTCAGTTTTATTAACTTATTTTCTGACCCATCACCAGCATCTAAGTGGTCTTGTTGTTTGCAAAGGTTTTAATTTAAATATCCCTATCCCAAAAGAATGATTTGGACATAACATTGTTTGTCAGACCACCAGCTGACTTCATGAACTGGTTTTTTAGAAGTCACAGACAGTTGAAAAATAACTGCCTCATCTTAGCAAAGTGATTTCCTGTAGGCATCTGGGGGAATGTCTACAGAGAGAAAGCAATTCATTGAAAAAACAAACAAACAAACAAACTGATGAGTGATGAGTCCATTCAAGTTAGTCTCACCATCCTACGAACTGTGGAGAAAGGCCCTGAGTGGGTAGATAGTCTATCACACAGAAAGACCCTTAAGGATGGCTCAGCATGTAAGTCCCAAGCTAAGAAAAGACTAGGAACACAAGATGAAATGCCAAAGACCAATCTACTTCTTTATCCATTCTCCTTAGAAATGGACCCCTAGTACCCATTCACAGGAAGTCAGAAAGAAAACAGATGTCAAAGGTTAGAATATTTTATTTACACCATGTTTCCTAGACCAGCTGAGTATATGCAGATATCTCATCCCTCACCTATCTGTAGGACATAGGCACTTACTAATATGACCAGAGTGATTAATATCAAATGAAAATTTTAATTGATATTGATTAGTGAAATGTTTTACATTTTAAGCATTTGGTAGGTTGATTTGTTAGTTGAACAACCTAAAGGAAACAGGAAACCAATTCAACTTTCAACCAGTCACAATCACCTAAACAATATTGCTAGTTGTGGACACATTTCTCTTCTGTCTCCCTTTTCCTTTTCCTGCCTCTTTCTTTCTTTCCTTTCCTTTCTTTCTTTCTCTCTCTCTTTCTTTCTGCCTCTTTCACTATTCCTCACCCTTTGTCTCTTCTTCTCCCTTTGTTTTTTCCTGTCTCTCTCTTCCTTCCCTCTCTCCCTCCCTCCTCCCCTCTCTTCGTCCCTCCATCCCTTCCTCCTCCCCTCCTGCCCACAAATGCTGGAGATCAAACTTGTCTTTCTAGGCCAAATATTCTACTCCTGAGCCCTGAGCTACATTCTAGACATACACTCTTTCTCAGTCTATCTACTGGTTTATTATTTTTTTCTACTAGCAGGTTAATAGTAACAAAACCTACTTTTATGTTCCAAACTTGAAGGAGTAAAATTGAAACATAATTTAAAACAGGTCTCAAACAATTGTATCGTAGTATATAGAAACACCAATTCATTTTGTATAGACCAATTGACTCATAAAACAACAACCCTGAAAAACATCTCCCAAGGCATTGGTGGAAACTCTTTTCTTATGATACAAGTAAGAGAAAGGAAAAATTAAAGTGAATTAGAAAATCTTTTATTGCTTGGGTTCATAAAACAAATGTGGTATCCAAGTACTCAAATGCTGTTGGCATCACTGTCAACTCGTGTAATTGTAAAGGTTCTTCTGACTTTCACATGACAATAGTTAGAATCCTACTGTGATGACCATATTTTAAAAACCACATTATATATGCTAAGTCAAACGCTAATTTTCACTCATTTCCACAATTTTTATTACATGAATGTAAGGTGACGGTTTAACAATGAGAACATATGGTTTGTATTTCATTATGTGTATGTAATATGTAGGAGAACCAAACCAGTAGGCGACCGAGTGTTACTACATGAACACTGGACTGTATTGCCTTTTGTCAGTAAATTCCTCCGTTTAATAAATACTGAAGAACACAAATACTTTTTTTGTTTTCTAAGAGTTTGTTTTCTTTTCTGGAATTTGGTAATGGTTTGATCTTTTCCTCCCATGTCTTTGCCATCTGTTTTAGAGGAATTTTTGAACACTGGCAAAAGAAGGGAAAAGTACCTATTTTAAGAATGGACACACATTTTGTAAACTTTCTCCTAAGAGCTAAAATCCTTAAGCTAAACGAAAAAGGATCAATTCCAATGTCAAAGAATTGCTTGTTAAATGAGGTACAGAAAGCTTTTTCTACTGACATTGGATGAAAAGAATGCATCTACATTTTCTCTACCTATGTGGCTGGAATACATGCCATTTCTGCAGCATTATTGTTCGACTGGCTTAGAGATCAGTGCATGAGTGTCATTACATTCTAAGCTTGAGTTAGCTTTAATTTTAAAATAGAAACACAGGGGCATTGATGCTTTACTAGCCAACTGATCATCTCTGAAAGGAGGAGCAGGATGACTTTCTACTGCTCTTCCTCTGCCTTGGCTAGTACTCAAATAAAGCACACATGTGAAACGCTATCTCAAAATAATGATTAGATGGCAGAAGGATTTTGAGCATGGAAGATGAAAAAGTCTGCACATTCAGAATCAAACAGTCTGGACCACCTATACCCAGGGACGAATCCCAGCACACCCGGGGACTTCCTATATTGATAAAACCATGAGGGGACGCTCAGAAGCCAAGCAGCCATCTTCTTGGCACTCAAGTAGATCCACAGTAGACAGACTGCAGATTCCAGGCCCTGTCACAGAAGGCAGAGTCCAGGTTGCCTGGCCACCTGATCCTGAGTGAGAATCTTCACTTCCAAGTTACATTTTCTCTCTGAGCCCTGTTATTTCTGGTATTTTCTTATTACAACATGAAATGTTTCCATAGCTTTTCTCAGTGTAAAAAAAAGTGTTGCTCTTAGAAATTAGAGCTTGATAGCATTTCCATCATTAGCACAAAGAGAGGGGAAGACACTGAGGCTAATCGAAGATACACAGGTAGACTCAAGGGCACGCATTGGCACAGTTTATACATCCTAGAGTAACTTCCCATTTACGTTAGGAAAGTAAAGTTGCCTTCTTCACAGGTGTTTGCTGTTTTTTTCTAAAAGGAATTATGTCTGAATTTATCAGGGAAATTACTATTTAACAGTAAGAAGTAAAGCACTTATACTTCCTGTCATTAAAATCAACAAAACCATGGGGGTGGATGGTGACAGAATATTTCAGTTACCTAGAAAAATATAACTGCATAGAAAAATTACAAACTAAAGTAATTCATTCAGTTTCTACATACAGTATATCCTCAATGTACATTGATGTAGACACTATTCTATGTAGAAAAATATCTTTGGCTAGCAATGTAGACACAGCCAAATGTTCCCCTTAGTCCAGGTAGAAGTTCTGTTCTGTCATGAGTCACTCGAAGCAAGGGACCTTCTAAATGAATTGCAGTAAGGCAAGTACTCCTCCCAGCGATTTCCAATTCAGAAGGAACCTTAGAGTTCTTTAGCCACAAGGCAAGGGGATGAAGAATCATAGTGTTTGAACTTCCGTCTCCATGGCCCAGGAGAAGTGGAAAGGCAGCCTCCCTGGAGAGCACCCAAGGCTCTGCCAATTTCTTTTAAATTGCAGGAAGGCTGCGTCTCTGCTGAGGGGTCAGCTCGGGGTGCCACACATCCACGATGAAGATCAGCCGGAAAGATGAGGCATCCTGCCACACCTCATGCTCGAAAGAGTCATCAAAGATGAGCACCTTGCCTTCTTCCCACGTCCTGGAAAAGACAAACATGCATTTGTCAGTGGCCTTGGGAGTTTCCCATGCCGGAGGACCAGTTTCTGTCCATAGGCAGGAGGACCCCTCTGACCACCTTTGGGATATGACCAGAACACCCAGCCTGAAACCAGCCTTCCAATAATGACTAAGAACTTCAAGCTTCTTATTGGAGACACCAGACTTCCCACCCTGCACTAAAGATATGCAAAGGACACGGGCTGGTGATGAAGACATACTGGCATTATTTCACACTCTCCAGTTAGTCTGGATCTCATCCTAAATCGGATGTGTTTAGCTGAACAAGTGTCCAGAACAGTGGTCCTCACACTTCCTAATTCTGTGACCCTTGAATACAGTTCCTCATGTTGTGGTGACCTCCAACCATAACATAATTTTCTTTGCTACTTCATAACTGTAATCTTGCTACTGTAATGAACTGTAATGCAAATATCTGATATGTACCCCCTGTGAAAGGGTTGTTTGACCCCCAAAGGGGTCTCAACTCACCCCTGGTCTAGATTCATACCTAGTAGCTCACACATGGGACAACTTCCAAGTCAATATCTTCATAGCTATCACATTTGTCATTTCAGAGACTGTGTAGCCTTTTGGGTGGTAAAGGCCAAAGTTTCCATTCCCAGGACCCACATAAAAGCTGGAAACATAGCATGATCACCTGTTATTCTAGTGCTCCTATGGGGATATGGGAAGCTGAGAGACGGGCATCCCCGGCAGTGTGTTGGCAGCCGACCTGGTGTATGCAGTGGTGAAAAACATACAACAGCTCCATCTCAAACAAGGTAGAAGCTGAGGACCCACACTCAAGGTTGTCTCTGAGTTCTACACATATGTGGAATACACATGCATTGTATACACATGTACCTGCATTCACCCTCACACAAATGTACACACACACACACACACACACACACACACACACAGAGAGAGAGAGAGAGAGAGAGAGAGACGCAGGAACCTACTTCCACACACCATCCACACAAAAAATTAAAAGGTTGATGTATGTTATAGTGTCACTAGAACTTCTTTCTGTTCCAAGGCTGAATTGTATGTTGTTACATGCTTCCACTGGGCTTAGTTTATCCTTATCCACCTAGTGACATTTGGGTTGTGCCACCTTTTGGCCCTCGTGACTTTGCTGCTGTGAGCAGGGGTACTGTCTCTTTTTGGATATTTGCCATACTCTCTGTCTGTCTGGTAGTTTTGTCCCTTATACCCACTGACACTGTTTAATTTCTCTGATAACACTAGATCAAGAAAATGCCCATCTCTCTGTGTAGGGTATTTTACAAGAGGGGGGCTGGTTGATTAACTTTTCTCTTTTTTCTTTTTGGTTTGTTTGGTTTCACATGGTAATGAATGCCTGTTCTGCCATTTGCTGCCCAGTCTAAGATTCTGTCCTTGTAAAGCTGTATCCCCTATATTCAGACAAGCTGTATAAAACAGCTAAGCAACACATTTACTGAATTCAAGATGCACACAGCAGAAGGGATGGGCAGATAGGTAGGTAGATGGAGAAGGCTGACTGAACTTTTAATTGCAAATATTAGTTACTTTTCATTAGTTACATAATACAGAAATGTTATTGTTAGATTCATCCAATATGTCAGCTATTCTTCTCTGGGGTGACTTTGCCTCCCCTAAATCCCTCCCCACTCTTTGAAACTACTGTAAATATTTCTCATTGTCACAAAAGGTATGGGTCATACTATTGCCCTCTAGTGGCTAGAAGCCAGAGATGATGTTGAAGACCAAAGCACAAGACCACCTGGGTCAGATGTCCATAGTGGCAAGGCCCAGGAAATTACACCAATTCTGTTAGCAAGAAACATGACCCGATGATAATATTGTAACCAGATAGCACTGTTCCTGCTATACTGTAACTCTTTACTAAGGTATAACACAAAATTTTAAATGTTTAAATAGAATTTTAATATTCAAAAATTTCCTAGAGAAAATTTCATTTAATATAATAGTATCATGTAATACATATCTTCACATTAATATCTCTCTATATAAATACAGGAGCACTGACTCAGCTCTGTGGGCTAGAGAGGTACTGCACAGCCACCAGCTGCACATTTCTCTCTTTGATGTCTTATTTAGACTAACATTGTATTCAGATTTTGGTTCTCACACAGCTCTCTTCTGAGGTACTGTTGGAGGCCCTGTCGAGTGCATTGCAGCACTAATTTAAAAGATTCCATGCATAACCCACTTGCATAATAGATTAAGCTAAGAAAATAAATAAGAGTCATTCCAAATCTGCCTGCTTTTCTAAGCTGGAATACCACTTAGGAAACAACTAATTTAGCTTTCTGGTTACCGGATGTAAGACTCATTTCTTTCATATACTGGATCTTCAATAAATGCTGAAAGCTGAATTATTTGGACCCTGTGTCAGGAGTCCTCCTAGAAGGCAAAGATTCCTGAGACTGCAAGTGCTTTTATCCACTGAGCAATCTTCGCAACCCAACACAAATGCATCTTAAGGGCATTGTGCTAAGTGAATCAAGCTAGTCATTAAATGCCAGACACTATATGATTCCACTTGTATAAGGTCCTGGAATGGTCAAGTTCATAGAGACTGAAGTGGAGTGGAAGTTGTCAGGGGAAGGGGTGCAGACTTAGTATTCAATAGTCCAGTCTTTTGGTATAAAGTTCTAGAGACAGGTGGTGGCAATGATTGCGTAATGTGAGTGACCATAATGCCAAGACAAAACAAAACAAAAAATAAACCATACATTTTAAAATGGTTAACATGTTTAACTTTATGATGTGTACTTTACCATGATTAAATAATAAAAAAAAAAAGAAAGGCAGAAAGGACACATGAGAGAAGACTAAAAAGGCATTTGAACACAGTGGGACGTCATAGTCTTTGAAGGGAGTAGAACAAAACCTTCTGGTTCTGGCATTTGTTATTTGAGTGACCTGGGGCAAGTTACTGATGCTTCTTTAATATGACTTATGCCCTGTTAAACCTGTCAAAAATCAAAAGTCCCATACATGGCTAAAGCATGTAATACACTATCTGGACTGAACATGCTAGCCTAGCCTATAGTACATGTGCTCTGAATAATATATGCAGTATACTATCGGGACTGAACATGCTAGCCTAGCCTACGAATGTACGTGCTCTGAATAATGCAGGTAATACACTATTGGGACTGAACATGGTAGCCTAGCTTCTGGTACACATGTGCTGAATGTTGAGAATTAGCCTACAGTTGGGCAAGGTCATCTAATGCAAAGCCTGATGTATACCAATGTGCAGAAGTGCTAACGTTATCGGAAACCAGTATCCAGCAAATCCCAGCAACAGAGCATACTCTAGGGTCTTGGCTGGTCATCCAAGGGATGGAATAACCGACTGAAGTTGGGCTGCTGTCTCCCAGCATCACTAGAAGGTGCTAGTACATATTGCTGACCCAGGAAAAGGTCAAACTTACAAGTTCAGTTTCTACTGAATGGGTGTCATTTCTTCACAGTCTTAAGGTTAGACACAAGTAGAGCTGTTATCATATTAAGTTGGGGAATGTTTGAAGTTAGCACATTTGCCCTTTTTTTTTCACCGTCAGACTTCATAAAAGGACATGGTAGACATTCAACTTCATAGCAGAAATTTTGAAACAGACATGGGAAGAAAACAGACAATATAGAAAAAACAATAGATTACCAGGAATAAATTTTACATCATTCCTTATGAAATATGACTTAATTTGAGAAAACTGAAAATATATCTTGGATACCAATGGAAGTTATTTGGGCATCAGAGAATTTGGAGACTATTTAAACGTCAACATATAACTCAAAATAAAGCACAATTATTCTCCATTGTAAAAATGAAATTTTCCAGGAAATTTTGATAGGTGTAATAAAACCAAAGATTTAGGCATGTTTAAAAACTTTAATCATCCCATTCATTAACTTACATTTTCTGTGAATTAGGAAGAGTGATTCTCATGGAACATACTAACATATAAGATGACGTCAGAACCACTGTTTATGGCTTTTCAAGTATTGTGTACCATATGTGTCTTACCTGCAGCTTGTGGGTCCCATGTGTCCCATGATAGTTATGAATATAGCCTAACATAAAATCACCAACTTACTTAATATTGTGGGATATTTTTGTAACTTGATCACATGATTCTTGAGCATAAACTTTATAGGTAACAATGTAGTTTTGCAATGTTGAAAGGTTTGACATGCCTGGACCATTAATTAACCATTTTTTTTAAATAAAGCTAAAACTTGAAGGCATTTCCATGAATTGTACACTGAATTTTTCTTTTAAAATATTCACTTTAAAGTATTTTACTGACATCTGGTGTGTGCGCGCGTGCGTGTATGCGTGTGTGTTGCTTGGAAGCTTTCCTCAGCTGCATACAGGGTCAGAGCACAACTTACAGGAGATGGTTGTCTTCTTCTACCATGTGCATCCAAGGGTTGAGCAAAGGTTGTTGAACTTGGAAAGAGGCACCTCTACTCACTGACCAATCTCACCAGCCCCTGATAGATTTTTTTTTAAGTCCTTAAGAGACTATGGGGAGTTTGAGGAAGTATGATCAAGAATCTAAACTGTCTGCATGGTGAAAATGAGGTCAACATGGGCTATCCAATGATCACAAAATAAAAACTACATGGGGCAATACGTCCTGCATTTCTCCCTGGATTTTCTGTTTCCACAGAAAACAGCAATGGTAATTACTTAGTGAAGATCCTTTCCTTAATACTGTCCTTTATCCTTTCACTAGTTTAGAGGGGGAATAGGTACAACTGCCGCTTCAATTATTCTAAGAGGCAAAGGAGAAAGCACAATAGAACCTCATCCAAGCCCGTCGCAACCTGAGTTGACACTGGTTATGAGCAGACATCACCAGCCTGGGAAAGAACTTTTCACACAACAAAGAGACAGGGTGTGAAATCATCCCAAGACTGATGACATCTTCTGAATGAAAAGCAATGGCTTAGTAG